ACTACTACTACTACTACTACTACTACTACTAACTACTACGACTACGACTACTACTACTACTACTACTACTACTACTACTACTACTACTACTACTACTACTACTACTACTACTACTACTACTGGTCGGACAGCGCCCACCAAGTGCCGCCGAGGAGCAAGGCAGAGGAGGAGTACGAGGAGGAGGTTCCGCAGCAGGAGCCTCGCCCGAGCCTTGCTTCCAGGGCCGAGGGCGCGGGCGATGCAGCCTCCCCGCCGCCGCCTGAGGGGCCCCCGCCAGGAGGAGGGAAAAGCGCACCACTGGAGGACCCGCCGCGGCGGGAGTCACCCCCCGAGACGGCGAGCGAGCTGCAGGTGGATGCCATGTCGGTGGTCCACTCATGGGTCGAGGCAGCGCTCGATTGGCTAGGCGAACGCGTCAGGCATGCTCTCGGGGCTCTGCTTCATCAGTGTCTTTCCTTCCTCATGGGCATGGCCGACGCCGTGGGTCGTTACTTCTTCCGCGCCTATTGGGTCCAGCGAGTGTGGGTGGCCATGGGTCTCGTGGGCGTTGGACTGATCGCCATCCCGGTGTCGGCGATCGGCATCCTATCATGGTTTTTGTGCCTTCGTCGCGGCTGCTGTGTGCGGATTTGCCAATGTAGCAAGTCGGGTCACGACGTAAACGCGGCTCTGGAAGGAGACCCCCAGTGGCAAGGCTTGAGCAGGGGCCGCTCAAGGGTAGCCGTATCATTCGCCACGGGTGCGTCCACTGCTTCTGGGAGATCAAGGGCAGCTCCCGCCGCCGCCTCAAGATGGAGCTCGAGGCGCCCAGGGATGAGGACGGCATTGGCATGGTTCACTTGTGTGCATATATACCTTTCACATTCTCCGAGAGCGACAATAGCATCGCGAGCGTTTGCCCATCGTGCGCGGTCGAGCACAGTGCCCAGATCAACGTGGCGGACTTGGCCTAGCTCGCCCCCGCAGGGCGCGCGAGGAATGAAGGCAGGGCGCGTTGCTCACGGGCGCGCCGCGGCCTGCGTACTGGCGCCGCGCCAAGCGCGCTGGCGCCCAGAGTCCCGAGACCAAGGGCTAGCCGAGCCTGGGCGCGTGCGAGGCGGGCAAGATCGCATTCGTAGCCGGCGGCGGGCTTGAGGTGCTGTGCGCGGGCGGTCGACGGACTTGGCCAGGCGGGGGCCTGGCTCAATACTGGTCAAGGACGCTGCCGTCTCAGACGGCTGCGCAGCTCCAGATGTGGATTGCACGTGCACCTTCAAGGCCCAATCCTTCCACGCCCAGGCCAACGTGGCCCAGGCCGCGCAGAGTTGTTTTTTTTGTTTTCGGCGGCATCCTACTGCCGCGCGGGGCGGGGGGCTTTGCAGGATTTGAACTTCGATCCTCTGGGTCCTTCCCACGGGCTGCGCCGCGCCGGCGCCCCCCACTTCCTTGGGGAAGGCGGCGGCGTGGAGGTGGTTTGTAGGTGGTTTGTGCGCGTTGCCGCTGGCTGTCCGCCAGATCGTTGCAACGGCATACTGTATACAAGGGGCCGCGTTTTGATCGAACAGAGGCCCATACTTCCGCTCGAGGTCTCACGTCAGGGCCAGATTTTCTGGCGCGCGCCGGCCAGCGCCTGGATAACCGCGCTTTTGTCCTCCACTATGGCCTCTCGTCCCTTCCGCCGCGATCTGATTCGCCAGTTGAAGATTCGCGCCCCTGACGAGTTTCCCGCGGGGCCCCCAGCCTTGCAAGAGACGCCCGAAGAGCCGATAAGGGCCAGATCCAATCTTCCCAAGAAAGATCGTACCCGGGCCCGACGTAGGTTCGTTGGTGACTGATTTGTTTGGTTTCGAGGTCGGTTTTCCGCAGCTGCAGACCCAATGGTGTAAGTGTTCGCTTTTCGGCATGTGCATTCGGTGTTCGCTGGCAGCGTAGTGCAATGGGGTTGCCAGGTCATGCGACGTGCTTTGATTGCATTTCGCGCGTGTTGGGTAAAGATCGAGGGAAGTTGCCTCCCGCCTTATACTGAACGGGGAATGTGGTTGCCTGCGTCGTCGCCCGTCTGGCCCCCTTCCTCTTTTCCGCGCTCCTCTCCTGCGCTGAAGTGCTAATTTGCTAGAGCACGACTCTGTGCCACGAGGTGCGGCGTTGTCTCGGGGCGGGGGGGCCCGTCTTAGCCTGTGAGAACCCCGGCCCTGAAATCCCACAGCAATGTTGCCTTTTAGGGCTCACGTGCGCGAGCAATCTGTAGACGCTCGTTGGTTTTTGGGGCTCCCCACCCTCATGGCCCACCCTCTCTGGATTTCAAAGGGGCATGTGCCATCGGTGCTCGTTGGCAGCGTGGCGCAATGGAGTTGCCAGGTCATGCGCCGAACTCTGATTGTAATTCACATGTGTTGGGTAAAGATCTATGCGTGTCGCCTCCCTCCTTGTGTTGAACACAGGACACGTGGCTGCCTGCATCGTCGTCCGTCTGAACCCCTCCCTCTCCTCCTCCTCCTCCTCCCTCTCCTCCTCCTCCTCCTCCTCCTCCTCCTCCTCCTCCTCCTCCTCCTCCTCCTCCTGCATTGAAATGCTGGTTTGCTGCTAAACGCACTCGTGTGCGCCCCGAGGTGGAGCGCGGTCTCAGGGCGGGGGGGGCCGCCTCAGCCCGTGAGGGCCCCGGCCCGGACATGCCACAGCAACGCTGCCTTTGAGGGTTCGCGTGCGCGAGTGATCTGTACACCTTAGGCGATGCTTAAGAAAACCTAAGTTTTCGTCCAGAGTCTCGATTATTCTTAACTTTTCAATGTAAATCCCAAGATTTTAATAGAAGTTCTGGGTTTTTATTCAAATTCGCAGACTCTGAATTTCTTAACCCATGATTTCTTGAGCATTTCGCAGGGTGTAAACGCTCGTGTTTTTGTTTGGGGGGGCTCCCCACCCTAATGGCCCACCTTTTCTGGATTTCAAAGGGCACGTGCCGTCGGTGCTCGCTGGCAGCGCGGTGCAATGGAGTTGCCGGGTCATGCGCCGAGCTCTGATTGTAATTCACGCGTGCTGGGTGAAGATCGAGGCATGTCGCCTCCCGCCTTGGGCTGAAAACCAAAAATATGACTGCCTGCATCGTCGTCCGTCTGCCGCCCTCCCTCTTTTCCCCGCTCCCGTCCTGCACTGGTATGCGGCTCGTTGAACCTTTTGGATGCATGCTTGTTGACTGGTGATGTTCGAAGAGGTCGAACGGCGCTGCGGGCTGTGTGCGTTGCTCCTCTACTCCTTGCCACGCTGCCTGGAGGGGCCGATTCGGTCTGCGCGTGCCCCGCCTGCTGTTAACTGTCTGCTGAAGCTCGTTGCCGCGTCGGAGCAAGTGTGCTACTGTGCCTGTGTGTGTGTGTGCCAAGTTGCACGCGCGGCTCGCCCGCCCATCCTGTCCTGCTTGTTTTTCCCTGCGCACGCCCGCCCCAGCGCATTCACCCGCTTGGCACGCCGAGTGGAATTCGGCCACTGTGCGGCCCATTCTGGCTGTTGCCAGGTCATGCGCGGAATTCTGATTGTAATTCACGCGCGCCGGGTAACGATCGAGGCAAGTTGCCTCCCGCCTTGCGCTGAAAACAAAAATTGTGGTTGCCTGCATCGTCGCCCGTCTGGCCCCCGCCCTCTTTTCCCCGCTCCCCTCCTGCACTGCAGTGCTAGTTTGCTAAACGCGCTACTCTGTGCCTCGAGGTGTGGCGTTGTCTCGGGACGGGGGGGCCCGTCTGAGCCTGTGAGAACCCCGGCCCTGAAATGCCACAGCAATGCTGCCTTTTAGGGCTCACGTGCGCGAGCTATCTGTAGACGCTCGCGTTTTTGGGGGGCTCCCCACCCTCATGGCCCACCCTCTTTGGATTTCAAAAAGACGTGTGCCCTCGGCGCTCAAGTGTGGTGCAAGGGAGTTGCCATGTCGTGCGCCGAGTTGTGATTGCAATTCACGCGTATTGGGTAAAGATCGAGGCATACTGTCCCGCCTTGTGCCGAAAACAAGAAATATGGCTGCCTGCAACGTCGTCCGTGTGGCCCCTTCCCTCTTTCCCCCGCTCCCCTCCTGCACTGAAGTGCTACTTTGCTAAACGCACTTTTCTGTGCCCCGAAGTGGAGCGTGGTCTGAAGGCGGGGGGGGGTCCGCTTCAGCTTGTGGGAACTCCCAGCCCTGAAATGCCACAGCAATTCTGCCTTTGAGGGCTCGCGTGCGCGAGCTATCTGTAAACGCTCGTGTTTTTTTTGGGGGGCTCCCCACCCTCATTGCCCACCCTCTTTAGATTTGTGCCGTCGGTGCTCGCTGGCAGTGTGGTGCAATGGGGTTGCCAGGTCATGCGCCGAGATCTGATTGTAATTCATGCGTTCTGGGTGAAGATCGAGGCAAGCTGCCTCCCACCTTGTGCTGAAAACAAAACTATGGCTGCCTGCATCGTCGTCCATCTGCCCCCCTCCCTCTTTTCCCCGCTCCCCTCTTGCAATGAAATGCTACATGTCGAACCTCTTAGATTCATACTGAGGGCTCAGTCTTTAGCCACCTTGGGTAGCATTGAGCCATATTGGAGGGCAACTTGGGTATTGGGGCTGTCGCTAGGCCATATTGGGTTCCCCCCACAGCGGAAGAAGGAGTTTGGACTAACGATTTGTTTACACCACCGGCGCCAAGAGTGTTGGCGGCATTAGCACCTTCGAAGAGGTCGAGCGGCGTTGCCAGTTTCCTCGGGACGGCTATCTGGTCGGCGTCTTATCCTTCAACTCTCCCTCTTCCAAGTGGTCGGACACGGCCCACCCTGGATCACCCAAGGCACTCCCGGGACCGGACCCCCTGGCCCTACTTCGTCAACTAGTGGGAGCAACAACGATGGCAATCTACGGGAGGAACTCTGCAAACAGATGCATGACTGATTGAGCAGTTTGAGACGTAGAGGTACTCTAAAAGTCTGGGGTGGCCTGATGGGTTATGGTGCCCAGCATCGTCCAAGCAACACGCAGCAGCGGCATGCTACTGTACGGCTGCGTTCGATGCGGCTCAGGTACATGTTCGCCGTGTTCGGCGTTGTCCTGATCAGCGTAAAAATCAAGGATGCGTACGAAGCCGAGGTCGGGCGACCCGTCGTCTTATTCTGCTCTTCCGTGGCTGCTTGTGTCTCCTTCTGCTGGGAGGGGAGTAGCCACAGCTCCGCTCGCCTGGCTGTCCTTCGGCCACCGCTCGTCTCCGACGGCCTCCCGTTCTTGATCTCTCTGCTGCGAACAGGCTGCAGACGTCACGCGCTCGAAGAGACAAGAGAAGCGGTCAGGCTTTACATCCCATGTTGGGGGCTTGATGGGGCTGACCATCAGCTAAATGTTCGTAGATGGCGTTTGTTTTCCCTGCCCCCAGCCAGGGACTTTGATGGACGGCTTCGAGAGAAGATCGTCGAGGTTGTTGGATCTCGGAAAGGTGTGACACTTGGATGTCGCCTCGACCTTTGCGACGCCTCCCTGCTCTTCCTCTTCCGTTTCCTCTACCTATTCCGCTTCCTTCCGAATGCAATGTCATGCTCCGCCGAAGACCGCTCAGCGGTCTTCGACGGTCTTCAGTGAAGACCGTCGAAGACCTCCGAACGCCGTCCGAAAAGCGCCGAAGACCGCCGAAGTCGGCCCAGGAGCGATGGTTAACGAGGGGTCCATGGTCGAAGACGGAACACAAGGCGACGAGTTCTTTGCATGCACGCCGTCCTTGGCCGGGCCCATCCTGGGCCCATTAGCGGTGGATCTATACACCCCAGGTCTTCTGAAAAAAAGGGGGGTCTGACTGCGGGGGGGGGGGAGAGCATGCGACGCATGGAACGGGGTCAATGATAAGATAAACGGCGAGGCTATGATACCTGTTTTGATTTCGAGACGGCTATGATGCCCACTCGTGCCCACCTCGTCCCGCCGTCAGAGATTTCGCATCCCCCTACGATGGTGGGACAGGAAGACGGGCCGCCGTGCCCAGCACTGTACGTACGGTGCCAGGTTTGTGGGGGTTTTGATCTGAGCCAGTTTGGAGGGTTGGGTGGGGTCTGGCGACTGGGAATGTCGAGCGACGCGCCCGTTTTACTTTTTACATGTTGTGGGGATTTGTCGAGCGAGGTGGTTGTTTTAGCACCCCAAGGGGGAAGCGCAGGGGGGCATCTCGCGGGCTTCAGTGGCAACGGTAGGGGTGATATGCCCAGAGGGGATGCACGGTCCACCAATCGCCCCCTCGTCGCCGATGAGGGACCCGATAGCCCTCCTGCCCAGCAACGCGCGGATTCGCTATCGGGGGCCTATCGCCGATCTATCGGCGGTGCATCGCCGATTTTAGGTCGACGTTTCCCACCCTGAGCCATGGTGCATCGGCAAGAATGGCGGGAGAAGCACGCGTGCACTATAACGACACGGGAATCTACAGTCAAGGCGTTGTTAGGTCCACCTCCCGCTCAGGAGGGGCTCGGGTTTTCAGACCGTTCCTTAGATCTAGGTCGGGGAATTTGTTTGTGGCTTAGGCCCTCAGTGGCCAGAAATGCGTCTTCGTTCCCTCCTTTTTTGGCGTTCCTAGTACCGTGTCGACTATGGCATGCAAAGTGCGCCATTGCAGGGTTTCGGAAAGCGTACGCTGAATGCTTTGCCCCAGCGAAGTGTGAGGGTTCGCTGCAGTGTGGGGATAGGGCGGCTCTCAGTGGATGCCAAGGTGGGTCATATTTGGCCTAACCTGGCTAACAAGTGGCTTTCACATGCCCCAAGTGGCTTAGGGAGTTGGCGATCCAGGCTAAGTGGTCCCCGCCTACTTTGCAGAGTCATCTAAACCCCCCAGCCACTGCGGGGCATCTCTGTCCCACCCATGAGCTAGGTTAGGCCATGTACAGCACACCTTGGCATCCACTGAACATCCCCCTATCCTTCGCAACGCCAGCGCCGATCCCAGTGGTTTCCAGGCCATACCTCGGGTCTCCAGCAGCCATTCAGGACGATCTGGGCAACCCCATATCGCCCTCCGCGACGAAGCGCAGCTGCTGGAAAGCAACCCGAGGCGAGAAAACCTCCAGGAACCCACGTGCACGCCCGAAAACCTGCCCCCCTAGCACCCCCCGCGCCGATCCCAGCAGGAAGCCAGGAGCAGGCACAGAACTTCCCTCCGCACTTCGCAGCCCGCCGGCGGTTCGCACCTCGGGGGCGAGCGCGGCCGCCTTCGGGCAGTGCCGTGGTCTCCCCTCTGGCAGGGCCGCGGCCCGCACCAGGGAGCGCCCAGCCTCCCATTCTGTCATGGGTCAGTCCCTTAAAGACGGTTCACCTCGTACGCCTGTGCGGCGTCAACGGGGTTCGCCGCCAGTGGGGGTCAACCCATTCTTTCAAAGGTAGACCCGCTTTCCCCATGAGACGGGCTGCGCAGAGTTCTCGGCCAGTCTCGGCGTGAGTAGGGCAACTCATTTGAATTCCCCGCGCATTGTTCGTTTCTCATTGCTTCCCCTCCTCCTGTCCCTCATTCTCCATCTTCCCTCCTCCTCCTCCACCTCCTCCTCCTCCTCCTCCTCCTTCCTTCATTCCTTCCTTCCTTCTTCCTCCTTCCTTCGGTTTTCTCGGGGACCGAAACTCCCTCAGCTCAAGCCTGGCTCACTCCTTGGCTTAGGCTTTGGCTCATACGCCGCTCTGGCTCGAGGGAACATGGCAACTTGCTGCGCCAGGGGCGGCGACCACCCGCCCGCCAGGCGGCCTCCTCTGACGATGGAGTCCGCCGCGGCGCGGCGCCGCCGGCAGCGGCGTGCGCGAGCCGCGGGCGCCGCGGGCGCCGTTGGCGCCGTGGCAGCCGCCGGTTCCCGCTGTTCCGCCGGCGCTGCGGCTGCCGCGGTTGCCGCCGGCGCTGTGGCTGCCGCCGGCTCCAGGTTCGCCGCGGCTGCTGCGGGCGTCGTTGGCGCCGCTGGCCTTGCAGTCCCGGCGCGCGCCGCTGGCCTCACCGGCGCCGCCGGCTTCAACTTCGCGGGCGCCGCCGGCTCGGCCTGTGCCGCGGGCGCCGCGGGCGCCGCGGGCGCCGTGGCCGCTGCCGGAGCCAGGGGCGCCGATGATGCCGCTGGCGCCGAGGGCGCCCGCCGCGTGCGCCGAGGGCGCCGCGCGTGGCGGGCGCCGCGCGTGCAGCGCGTGCTGCTCCCGACGCCGTCGCGGCGGCGGCCACCGCGGGGCTCTGGCCGGCGGTGTTCGCTTTCGCGTGAGCGGCCAGGCTCGCCGCCCGTGCGGCGGGCCCGCTGGGCGCCCCGCCTGGCCTTCTGGTTGCTGGTCTCCTCCTTTTTCTCCCCCTCCTCCTCCTCCTCCTCCTCCTCCTCCTCCTCCTCCTCCTCCTCCTCCTCCTCCTCCTCCTCCTCCTCCTCCTCCTCCGCCCTCTCCTGCTGTTCGGTGAGCGCCGCCCTGCTCTGTGCCCCGCGGGCCCTCTGGGCGCCGCGCGGAGCGACCTCGGCGATCAGGGCCCGGCTGGCTTCTGGGACCATGCTGTTTCCCTGGCGCCAGTATTCCAGCTGCAGTCGAGTTTGTTGGTGGTGAAGCAGATTGGGCATGCGAGACGGAGCTCGACAAGGCCGCGTGTCGGCCTATAGCGCGTCTAGTATGACACAAGTCACAGCGGGCTTTGGGCCCACAAGATTGAACGCCCTTGAGGCGCAAGAGACGTCCTCCTTGTGAGCTACACCGTGCGCATCGTCCATCAACGATGGTTTTACAGAAGGCCTGGGTGGCTTACGCGTTGCCGCTGACGCGGTCTCTTTTTCCAACAGCGAGGCTTACAACTGATACCTCCACATCGTTACCCTTCGATCGATAAGTACAGGTTTATCGCCTACACCATGGACCTAATCCGTGAGCTATCACAACGAAGTGCACCGTCGCGCACGGTTACATCATGCCCGGGGTCGCCCGCAAGCTAGTTTGTCTTCGTAGCGCACTTTCGCAGACATCCCGAACGACCTGGCCGTCTTGTTTATGGCACTTTCCCACGGTTAGGTCCAGATTGTCGCACGGCATTTTTTATGACATGCATCTGGCCGGACTTCAGTGCGCCGACGCCCGGCGACGTTGGCAGGCCATCGCTCGTTTCGTTTGCGCTAGGCATTTTCTTCGCGCTGCCAGCGTCGCTTGCTCTCCGCTTTCTCGCTTGCAGTGAAACCAGTTCCCTCTAATAGCGACCGGCTCGACTTCTGCATGATCCACTCTATGGTTCAGACGTTGTGTCATGTTCCCTACCTAGGCTCTGCCTAGAAGGGTTCTTACTCTCTAGCTTAAAGGGGCCGGGCAGTGGAAAGCGCCCCGGGCGGTTCCCCCAGTCCCCGCCCCGCGGTTCCCCCCAGTCCCCTGGGAGCTTTAGCTTTAGCTTAGCTTTAGCTTAGCTTTAGCTTAGCTGTAGCTTAGCTTTAGCTTAGCGTTTCGCTTAGCTTTTCGCTTAGCGTTTGGCTTAGCTTTAGCTTAGCTTGAGCTTAGCTGTAGCTTAGCTTTAGCTTAGCTTTAGCTTAGCTTGAACTTAGCTTTAGCTTAGCTGTGGCTTAGCTTTAGCTTAGCTTTAGCTTAGCTTTAGCTTAGCTTTAGCTTAGCGTTACTGTTACTACTAATGCTGCTTTCCTAGGGGTTCCAACTCCTAGGTAGGGTCGCACTGCTGGGATAATTTTTTTGGGGGATTTTAGCGCGCGGTGCTTTCGCCACTTTCGGTTGAGTCTTGCGAGGTGCGGATTGTCGGCCCTGCCGTGTTCATCGGCGGCGACGGGCATGCGATGCCTATGGGCATGCGGGCATGCGCCAGGGCTCCAGGTCGCTCTCACAGGTTTCGAGTTGGGTGGGAGCCGCTGGTGGCGTCGTTATTGGCTTCTGTGGATTGCCGCAATCTCGGATTGCCTCTTCGGCCTGCGGCGCGTGGGAGAGAGCATTCGCGCATCATTGCGCAACCTAGTGCCCGCCCGGGAGTCGCGTGGCGCAGGATCCCTTGGGGGGTGGTCACTCCAGCGAGCGCTCACAGGAGTTTGCCTTCTGGCAGCGGGCCAGATTGCATCGAAACGCCCCAAGTTCTGGGGCGATGCCAGTTTCCCGGCTGACGGTAGTGCGGGTTTCGTCGTTAGGACACCCGTTCTCCAAGTTCCATATTACTGAAATTGGTCATCCGTACGCAGATGCAGCCTCTTAGGGGGCGGGGCCCAAACGGGCCTTCAGTTGGGGTGGCGCGGGGTCTTTCCTCCGTGCCTGAAGATTTATATGCTCTCTGCCTCCTTCAGCGGGGCAGCGGATCCATGTTTCCAGCAAGTTGTTGCAACGACGCATCAATGACGCGATCGGGCGCGAGGCGGCGCATCGGCGGCGCTTTGGCGTTGCGTCGTCGTGCGCGATCGGGCGATCGGCTAGATGCATCGGTGGTGCGTCGGCGGGATGTCCAGATTCAGTAAACATCGATTGCGGGCTGAACCACGCCGGGCCTATGTCGGATCGGGGATGCGAAGGTGATGGCGTCGCTACGTCTTTCCACAGCTGGTATGCACAATGTAAGCATGCCGGCTCAAATTTACAGCCGCTGGCCCATTCCAGCACAACGCAGCCAACGACCAACGTTTTCCGAACTTTCAATGGCAAATACCGCGGCGGCGCATTCGTTGCCGCCGCCAGAGACCAGAGCTAAGGCATCCTTGCTTCATATCGCGTTCATTGTGCGCAAGCAAGAAGCATGTGCGGTGGGCGCGTGGCTTTTTGCAGAATGTTCCAGCACTGCTTGAGATTCGTCTGTAAATTGGCGCATTGGTCGAGCCGAGCTGTTGCGAGATTCCCAGCCAATGCCAGAAGAATGTCCCTCCCGAGTGAACATGTTGATTGACTTGAGAGGTGAGTACGAGTATGCCTTGCGTTCGACCGAGAGCGTCGTCGGTGGCCCGATTGCGTCACACTTTGAGAGGGCTGGGGCGGGGCAGCAGGCAGCAACAGCAGGGGGATAGGCGGTTCCTGCTCGGAAGCTGGCCGAGGGCTGCTAAAACCGTGGCTGCTAAAACGGCCCTCCCGGAAGGAAAAAACAACTTCCCGGAATGAGGCGCGGCACGCGAAACAGTCAACGGGCTTCTTCCCGGAAGGACGAAGACAACTTCCCGGAGGTCGATTTTAGCAGCCACGGATTTAGCAGCCCTTGCCCGGCTTCCCACCTGCGTCCCACTGCGGGCTCCTTTCTCGTCCTCAAGCTTCCTCCTCCACCACCTTCCCTTTTCATTCCCCCCGGCGGCCCGCAGCCTGCCTCGAGAACTGCGCGCGCCCCGCGGCAGCGCCCGCGACAGAGCCCCTTCGAAGTCTCCCGGGCCCCCGAGTTCCGAGTTTGTTTCCCGTCGTCGTCGTCCCCTCCCCCCCCCAATCCTCCTTTCCCTTCTCCTCCTCCCCCTCCCCTCCCTCCCCCTCCTCCTTCCCCTCCTCCCTTGTCCTCCCCGCCGTCCTATCCCCCCTCCTCCCCACAACGTCCGCCGCCGCCTCGCGAGGTGCTTCGCACGCAGGCCCCCGCCCCCGACTTCGCCACGTTTTCCGACTGCGGCGCGGCCGTCGGCGCGGCGCTGGAGCGGAGCTCCGCGCGGAACGGCCTGGAGCAGCTGAGGACCACGATGAATATGCGGGCGGGAGGGGTGGGAGGAGGAGGAGGAGGAGGAGGAGGAGGAGGAGGAGGAGGAGGAGGAGGACGAGG